GGCACCGCGAGGTATTTCGTGTGGATTTTCGATAGTCCAGTGGTGAGTGTTGTGGACGTTACGTACACCATTTCAACTGACACATGCTTCATCTGTAACAAGTATTTGCGCTGTAAATTGAAGATTTCTTGCATGTTCCTAAAGCAACCATTCGCAAAAACCTCGACGTAGTGGAAACTTCTCAGGAGTAAGCGCTTGAACACGTTGAATATGAAATGGGTACAACTGAGCTTCTCGTAATGTCCACCACACAGTAGGATGCGAAATATTTACTTGCTGTGCGATATTTCTGGTGCTACGATGCGGATCTTCTTAGACGAGATCTAAAACCATCTCCTCGACATTTTAAGATTCTTAGTGGTTGTACTTCACCGGTGTCCAAAATGCTTTGCTACACAGCAACAAATGTTCGCGGTGCGGGGCACGTCGCCGTCGTCGGCGCCGTTCAGGATATCTCGCACGGTATACTCTACAAGCTCTATGGGCATTTTCGTTTGCTTCGCCATAAATTATGAGCATATCATAATATTCGCGATTGCTAAATAAATGCGCTATTTTCAAAAGAAAACTTGGAAATACGGCTATTAAATGTACTATCGAAAAACAGCACAGCAATCACTATAACAATGTATTACAAACTGACTTTCGAATACAGTCCGGCTTCATAAGAAACCTACAAACTCGTAAAAAGTGTTACAGAATTTTTTGTAAGTACTCGCCGCGATAAAATACATGTATTTCTGCAGTTCCAAAACAATTTTAAACACACTTTTAATTAGCTTTTTTCTCTGTGACCTTAAACCTTCGATACAAATTTCTGATATCAGTTAACTCAGTTTTTGCTCCTCTTTTACCCCTTTAAATTTTTGCAATAAGTTAATTAACACCCTATATGTATTTGTATGTAATTTTACTAAGAAACGGGGAAACTGCATAGTATTTTTAAGAAGAAAAAAAACTAGGTATGTATTTCAAAAACCAAGCCATTGGGGACCCATATTCATATGAACTTTTTATCTTAATTAGTCAAAGATTCACCCTTTAAAGTTTGTACACGTACTTAATAAACACCCTATATATTATGACGTTATTATTAGAGTTTTGTATTTTCTATTCTGTTAGGATTAGAAATTAGGTAGGTACTTTACCTACTTATTGAATATCGGTGTATAACTACGATGTAACTGTTTCTGCTAGAGCTGTGAGTATTTTTCAATTTTTGCACTAAGTCTTTATTGATTTATTCTAGAAAATAAAAAAATAATACTTGAAGATTTGAAAATAATGATGTTACAATTATATAAATATATTTTTGATTACAAAAAAAACTTATTAAATAAGGAAGTGTTGTATAAAAATGAATTAAACATTGATGACTGAATAAAAATTAACTCACGTCAATAATTGCGTAAAAAATTAATTATTTATCGCATATAGTATTAAATAAATAATTACTCATTAATATTTAGTTAGACATTTTCTATGTTTATCCTTTGCCCAATGCTGTGTATAATCTTATAATTTATGTATGTTCTTTGTAATGAGAAATATAGGAAACTATATACTCAATTTCTAGTCTTAAATTAATATTACTATTAGAAGGGGGTTTGAGTTGAATATGAAACTTCACGGATCAATACGTTGCGCAAAGACATTAACTTTAATAACCGATACGGTATGAAGTTCTAGAAACGAGGGAAATGTAAATTCAAAGCAAACAGAAACAGACGTTGAAAACTTTGATTCTCTAAGGAAAGTCTTTGAAATAACGAAACTTTAGATTTGTACCAGTCTTTTGTATGCTTTTAATAAATATACTTCAGATTGGACATTTACTGTCGAAAAATATTTGAAATATTAACGACGACAAAATATAGGGTGTTCGCAGTAGTGATTGCAGATCAGAATAAACAACGTATTCTGGAATACTGAAAAGGGTGTTAGAGATGATTTGGAATTAACTGAACAAAAAATCCTTGGATACAAAACGCCTAGCCTTTTTCGATATATTCGAGATTTTCGATTTTCTTAATTTTTTACAGGTTTTTACATATTGCCATTAAAAATAAATAAGTTTATTCTGCAACATAGCCCTCTCTATCCTTGTCATTATGAACGATATTCATAATTACAAACAAATACAATTTTCACATGAAACTAAATTATATATTCTTCAAATTCAATTAACCAATTCGTTCGAAGGTTATATAGCTCTTCTTAGGGTGAAAAGTGCACTTCTGTTTACTTACTTTGTAAATTTTATTTTCATTTCAGTTCATACATTGGCAAAAATAAAAAAACAAACGATATTATAAGACACATCACCACAGTCAGAAAAATGCGGCGAATTTTATCAGTAGTAAATTTGTCCAACAAAGCGGCACTCAACACGGGATATTTCAAGCGCATGTGAGTCATAGGGAAAGTTAAATAACGAACAATGCTTTCTTTTACTAAAAACTATAAACAATAATGTAATTTAGTAAAATAAAATATTAATAAACATAAAGTAATAAGTATTAAACTGTGCAGGACACACGTAAAAAAAACTGGCGAAAACCAAAAGACTCAATTTATGTTTGATTTAATCTTCATACTGATTGCATGTAACCTACCAGTTGATATAGTGTAACAAAAGCCGGGACGCGTGGTCATTTATTTATTAGTTCTCGGGACGGATGAGCCAAAAAGTAAAATATTTCAGTTAACACTAATTATCTAAAGTTAAGGGCTCTCAAGTAGGTTTAGCGTCGTCCTTCGGAGAAATTTAGCAATATTTTTTTACAAGTTCACTTAAACTGTCAGGGCCATGTGTTGAGCATCTAGTATAAAGCGTAAAATCGATATTTCAAATAACGCGCAAAATGCATTCCAAAGAACGTAGGAATTCCAAGAATAAGTTGTTAGAATGTTGTCAGGAAAACAATAATAGGTCAAATAGCTGGTTTTTAGGCGGATTTTCCAAGCTGTAAGAATAGATTAAAGTCCAGTCAATTAGGTAATTATTAACATGATATAGTTATGTCAAAGCGTCCCGATATTCAGGGTTCCCGCCAATAAGATAAGAACAGAAACATCTGGACCCAAGAAATGGGCGTGTCGAAGCGAAGTGTCGAATTCAGGAGAGATCCCCGAAAAACAGGCAGTTTTTCCTTAGATTCCACATTGAGCAGTCGACTTAGGTTTAGAGTCTCGGGTTAATTTAATAATTGATAGTCATTCCAAATTTTGCTATTTCCTGAATCTCGGTACCTACGCTGTCGCGTGTAAATAAATTAATTAATAATGTTGTTCGAGCCGTTGTGTCGTTATTTTGTTTGTTTGGTTTGTTTATTGTTATTAAAACCCTTCCTGGAAGTTTTGGTATTTCCTTTTGTTTCTCTCAACTTCGGTGTCATCCCGTATACCGAGCCACTGGATTACATTCTACGTAAGTAATAGAAGGTAAGTGCCTTGAAAATTCATTCTCTGAACGTACAACATTTCTAAGTTCCCACGTATTAATTAAAGTATAATGATAATTATTATAAACTCCCTTTCGAGAACTTAATAGTAAACTCTTTTGAAATCCAGACTCATTATGATACTGGTCATACCGATATATAGATAAATAGAGCAATAATCCCTCAGGTTACAATAGTATATAATAAAATTCTTCCTGGAATAAATACAACCCCGAGTGGAAATTACCATGTCGGACCAGCTTCGAAGTAGATTATTTAATTATGCAAATATTACATCAGTAAATGTCGAACGGTCGTTCGATATTTTATCATCGCCGCGAATGTTTCACTGAAACAAGGGTAGAAACATACCTGGTGATGCGATCTATAACGGATCCCATCCCGATTGTGGAACCGATGGTAACGATGCGTAAAACAATTTACGTGCTTCACAATGATACAATGACATAAATCATTGTTCACTTTATTTTATGTTTATATCCGTACGCCTTTGGTGCGCGGCCAATTATGACAGCTCTAAACGCACACTGTTAAATCAAACAGAAAAGTTTTAATTTTTAAATATATTTCAAATTGATAAAATCTGTGTCACATAATAAATGTTTATGTTACTAAAACATCAACTGCGGTCATTAATACAAAAGTCAAACACCCCAACAAGCTTATTATTTTCGCTCGCAAGGAAGAAGTTTACGAAAGAAAGGAACCTTTTCGCAAATCTCGTAGAAAAGGATCGGGAAACTGCATTTGAAATCCTGTTACCTTACGGACTTACTGGATTGTGTAAGCTCTGGATTTTAATTCCTCCTATCCCTTGGCTTACTCAGAGGTATAAAAAAGGAAACGGTGCAGGGGTTCCAATCCTGAAATAAATCAATTTATTTGGAATTCGAGGTATTCCAATGAAACAATGTCCGCAGCGGGTCAGATAGGAGCGAGATTAAATATAAAAACGTGAGAAACTTTATTTGTGTTCTGTTGTTGTTATATAACATTTGCGATGCCGTCGAGTAAGGTTTTACTATTTATAAAGGGTGTCTCAAAAGTAACGTAGGATTTGAATTGTGCGCCATTTTCATTCCGAAGAGTTGGCTGCATTGTGTGGGGTCACATGCTCAGATTAATAAATAAAGGGGACGCCTTTATTTACATTCGATAGTGAAGTGTTGACATATGTGTATTTACAAACATTGGTACTTTGTGATGTCCTTGACATTGATGCCAATGTTAAATTTTTATCTTTATAGCTAGGTACAGCGGTCATTTTAATTGATTATCGTACAAGGATCTACCTAGTTACATTGTAATATGCATAAGACTACGACACTATTTTCTTGCAATTTGTTTTATAATTATAGATTTTGAATATCTGAAAAAAATACATTATTGAAATTCCTAGCAATACAAACGTCGTAAGTGGCATCATTGCCTGGTATTAAACGGTTCTAAAGGGGACGCCATTATTACAGTCTATTGTTGTGAAATAGATATTAGCCGAGTTCAGTGTTTGTTGTGTCTTTTTAAACTGTTTTTTTTATCTAATTTTAATAAAAATGCCAAAGCGGCGTATAATATGCCGACAATTACAGGAAAAGAGCCAAATATGTGCTACTTCTTTTCACAAGTAAGTTGGACATTGTTTCCATGGGCGTTCTTACAAGGGTGTAAGGTGTCCTAAGTATTTTATTTGTTAATTTATTATGTTTGTATTTTGATAATGACACTAGCTCTGTGTTTATTTGTAGAATACCATAAGATCCTGCGATACGAGCAGTGTGGCTAGAAAATTTCGCCATATCTGAATATGATTTTTCAAAGGATAATTATGTCTGTCGAAGCATTTCCGTGCTACAGATATTAAGGTAACAGTAACTGGAAAACAATGTCTCACACATGGAACTGTGCCTATTAATACAACATTTGGAAGGTAATACGTTTTAGCACAGTGTTGATGAAATGGTTGTGCCGTCTCAAAGGTTCCCTCTTCGAGAAATTGCCAGTGAAGGAAATTTTATAGATGTTGCTATAAAACATCTTCAATCACATGTTGTCCCTGTTCCATAAGAGACGAGCTGTCAATGTTGTGAGCTCAAAATTCAGCTTATTTTTGTTGCGTACATTTAAAACATGCTTATTTTCCCATACGATTAAATGTTGTTCAATGTAAATTCATTTTTCCGTTACTTTTAGTACAAATATGTTTTGTTTTCTTTGCATTGTTTATATTCCAGCAGATTTTAATTAAATATATTTTTGCTCCTTTTCTTGTAGTTTTATTTAAATTATTTATTTTAATAAATGTTCTTCCAGTAATCGAGAACTACTATGAAATAATAGAATTAATAGTAGGCAATGACATTGCTATAGCTATAGTATAATGATAGTTTCAATCGAGGAGTTTTCTTTAGTCACTCTTTTGTTCTGAAAATGTTTTTAAAATATTAATTATAGATTTTGAAGAAACCATTAACTTTTTCTTATTTATTGTCTATTTATTACACATGAAAGCTTAAATAATCGAGCACTTCTGATTTTATTCTATTAAAAAGTGTAATTTTTATGGTTTCCTTATATTATGATAGATTTTAAACCTAAACTCGGTACGCCACTGTACCAGGGACCATTGTGTTTACTTATGTATCATTTGTTTATCAACATACAATAGGTTGAGGTTACATGTTTACATTGTGTACTGAAATAGGGAATGCGGCCTCCCCTTTACTTATTACTCTGAGGTCACATGTTGCGGTTAGACAAAATGGAGCGGTATAGGACGGATGAGCTCGTGAAGATTGTGAAAATTCATTACAACTACGGAGAGTGTGTAGCTGAGACTGTGTGCAAATTACGTGGAATTTTCGCCTCGAATGAAACAAAAGTGAAAGGATTAGTTGCCAAATTTGAACAAACAGGTTCGGTTGCAGATAATAAAAAGCAGACCGGTGAGAGATAGTGCGGCGTCGGTCACTGCAATCAAACATTTCGAAAACAACGATGCAGCGGATTTTAACAAAAGATCTGTATTTGTATCCATTCAAGATTCAGCTAACCCAGGAACTGAAAACAGACGATCATTTAATGCGCCGGACATTAGTTCATTGGATGTTGGAGAATCAACAAGAGTAGGTATGGCGACAGTAGAGCCAGACGGACGCCCGAGACGCCGGGCGTCGGGACGCCCGCTTGTGGCCTTCGGTAGTGTGCGATCG